GTCTGTTTTTTTTTCAATGATGATAACATTAAACAGCATCTTAATCAATGAAGCTACCTGCAGATCAGTGTTAACTACATTACACAATGTTTATAACTCACAACAGTACAGTCCTGGTGCTTTTCACACTGATTGAAATCTGATCACGTACCATCAGAGCTCATTGTGCTCACTCCACATTGGTGAGCACATGAAGGAAAATGAACTCTGGGAACTTGGAATTAGAAGAAAAGAATTTTAGGTAAAATATTACATCGTTTCATTGTGTTTCAAATCTGTTGAAGAAACTAATGATGCTAAATATAAATAAACACAGATATGGGCAACTGGTGGTAAATGCTTCTGACAACACTAAAAATGGATCAAAATGGCAGTTAAAATTCAGTATTAATGAGGGTTTAGTGTAACACAGCCGAATTGACTAGTACGTTTGTATGTGGTGTGTAATGGAGGGGTAATTTTTGTTGATGACTATATAATCATGAATGTGGGTCATTTAATGATATAGCCATTACTAAATATTATTTAGTATTATTGAACACTTATACACAACCTGTACATTATATTAATGATACTCTGAATAAGTTCTTTCAAGTTACGGTAAACAAGGTACAACAAATATACAGAAATACTTATATTTTTATAGTTGAATATCGTAATGTGGATAATTAATATCAGTTGATCAAAATAGATGTATTTTGATGGGATATGCATTAAGAAGTGAAAATTAGATTAGAATCATTTTTAGTTCTTCAATTAGGGTGTGGAAGAAAAAATTGTTTTTTTTAATACAGGTCAGGTATGTTGTGACATTTGAATAGTACAAAATTGGTATTAATTTAAGCTGGGCAACTGTCTCCCCAGTGGCTTAGTGGTAAGTCTGGGGGCTAATAATGCTAAAAATCAGGTTTCAATACCTGCAGTAGGCACAACAGGGATAACCCCTTTAAGTAGCTTTGTAAATCTGGGCAATTAGTGGAAGGAAAGAGTTCCATATGGCACCCCCACCCAAAAATTGTATAATTGCCTGGATAAAAAAGATTCTGAAAATGGTTTATTTTAAGGGGCGTATTAGAAAAATTGGGACATGGCTTTTTGGGGTTTACCAAAAAAAAAAAAGTAGCCTTTTTGATGCCTTTATACAAGACATTTGTAAAGTTTATCCCCAAGAAGATTGTACATCTAATTAATGAAGTAAGTGCATTAAAATTATCAGATCATACTATTAATATGATTTATTAATACATAAATATTACTTTGATGAATTTTTTTAAAATTGAGTGGGGGTGCCATATGGAACTCTTACCAATTCAAGTTTGTTTAGTATAGTAGTCTTGGGGAAATTTGTAGGGAGAAATCCGTGGAACACTGTTAATCGTATTTTCAGCTCGTTACAGGTTTTGTATACTTCATGTGTATGTTATATTTTCATGTATAACAGTCTAGTTTTAACAAAGTAACTTACTATAATATCATTGTATCTGAACACAGAATTTCCTCATGCTTTTCATATTTTTTCACCACAAATTTTTAATTCAAGCTTATTTATTGCTTCTAATTAAAAATATTTTAGAATCAATATTTTGACATTTTATTACATTTATTTAAGAGTAATTAATGAAGAAAAGGTAAAAAAAAAGGTAAATTTTAATTTCTGCAAATATCCTCCATGAGTTTTGCCTTTAAACAATTCACTGTCATTATTATTGAAAGAAAAATAGTTATGAAGAACAGAGCACAAGAACAAGAATGATAGACAGATATACATGTGCACATTCTTTCATTGAATGTCCAGAGTGAATTATAGTATTTTATGTTACATATTTAATAAAACAATCTTTGTAAAGCCTTTTAAATGAAACCTAAAACTGATATCAGATGATAATTTTACCTTGCAAAGTTACAACTGTAAGAAAGAGAAGGCAGTTTATTTGGATGGTCACCATGCTGGTGTTATGGGTTTTGACTATAAGCATGGTAAGTATTTTACATATTGACACAGTGAGATAGCAGTAAGAAATTATAAATTTGTTATTGTTGTTAATAACTGAGATGGACTGATAGCCCATATTCCTAAGCAAAGCTTCAATTTATCAAATGTTACATTCTAGCTATTAATCACGTGTGCACAACATCTCTCCATAAAATGAACTGAAGTGAAAATAAGACCAGTTTATATAAAGTTTATCAAGTGTTACATTTATGTTTAACTATTAAGGATGTGAGTTAGTTACTTTATGATATATAATCGCTTCTTTATTCTATTTTTATAAAGAAGTGTCATGCACGTTCATTAATGGTTAGTTAAAAAAAAATGTTGGTTTTAACTTTATTTGTCTTATGAGAATTTATATGAATCTGTGCTGAAAGTTGAAATCAGAAGGGCCCAGCATGGTGGACATTCTGAATGACACTCCCAGAAAAGAATGGGCAGACTTTCTTTATACTCCAAAAACTACTGAGATCTACCTACTATTTTTGTGCATCAAGTTTAGCTTTACTCTCATGCCCACTGTAACCAAGTGTCTGGGAAGATACCTAACAAAAATGTAACTTTTAATATGAACATCTAACTTTTGCACTTGGCTGGGCAAATAACAACCACAAGTTCATTAATCATTTTGCTGAAATTATCCACTACATGGAAAGCACAATTTATTGAGAAAATGTCCAGTATACTGAAATTACATTTCATAGACCTTAGAAGGAAACTTATGAATTGCACCATTATATTCCAGATTTCACACTCCCCAAGTTTTATGGTCTGCAATGTCAGAGGAACAAAAAAGTAGATGTCTTGTGGAAGTTCTTGACTGAGTCACCAACGAAACCAAACTTATCATATTACAGATGCAAAATTATGTATTCCCAGACTATGATAAAGCCAGAACAGAATAAAAAAAAGGTCAAAAATGATAAGACAAAAATACTGAAGAATTAATTTCTCTGGCTACTTTTAGCTACTTTATGGAAATTTGCAGTAATGAATACAACCATTCTCATACAAACATATAGAATTTTTATTGTTGTTGTTGTTTTCATTATTATTATTATTATTATTATTACAGGAATAGGAAAAGACTCATATTGCACAGCAGTGTGTGCCATTTCAGGTTTTACATGCTGCAGACTTGTATCTGAGCCAACATCAGGTGCTGGATATTACATCCTAGTTACCATATAAGTAAATCTGCATACATACATTATGTTAAAAATATATGTATTTGAATTTACTTTTCTGCTTTAAAAGTTCAATTTGTACAACAGCCTCAATCATATAAACCCTAGAATAAACCAAACTACTATGCAATAGGAGTAGGGGTTTCTTTGAATTTTAAGTTGCAAAAACCAAAACAATTACATACCATTGGATTTCACAGTAAAAAAATTAATAGATATTCACTGCAATTTGAATTATGTAGCTAATAATTAACTAAAAAACAATTGATAATCATACCTGTAAATTGTCCTTTCACACCACACAAATGTTTAATTGAAACAATGCAAATAAATTTGCTTTACCTGGTAACCTCAGACATTGCATGAAACTTGTGACAAGATGAGATAAAATGTAACCCTAATAAAATACTACAATTTAAAACCTATACGAGTGAATTTATATTATACTGCTAAAAGAAATGAAAACTGTCAACAACCAGATGTTAGAAATCAAGTACAAACTTGCAAATTTATCTACTAACGTAAATGAGAGATTCTGTATTCACATTGGTTTCATGATTGACAGATGTGTATCAGTTATGACAAAAAGCAAACTGTTGTCAAGGCAACATATCATCTGCTTACAGTTCCAATTCATCTTTATTTCGTTGACATGCTATCCGCTGGAATTGTGTAATTATCAAATAAGGACCAAAAAGTTCATTATATGGCTTTAATTTTTCAATTTCCAATTTTTTTTGTTTGTGTATTTACAAATAGAAAATGCTTCTGGATACAAAAAAAAACAACAAAAAACAATAGAACAATAAAAAGCATGAAGAGAGCTATTGTTTGATATATCAATGACTCTTAATGGCCAAGCACCCGCTCACCAATGCCTTGTTTTTGGTGTTAACAATTGCTCATTGGTTGCCACCAAATGGCAGAGGAATGATTAGCAGTCTTGGCAATCTTATTATAGCCAATTTACAACTAGTGGTAGTGCGGTTGCCTTGAAATAAACAGTGCAAACTAAGCATGTAATAGTACTGTAGAATTTTTTATCAGTTGTTTGGTGTACAATAATTTAGTATTTTGATTATGGAAGATTTATATATTCACAACCGCAGCTTTGCACTAGACACTTCCATGACCAAGAACAATAATTCACAGGGAATCCCTAATAGGAATCTTATTCCCATCCCTCATTATTTGTTTATGGGCACAGTACAGGAGTTTCAAGTAGGAATTGTAAAGATAATTTTTGCTGATACAGTGATAACACTTTTTAAACATTATATATTTATTCTACCGTAAATATTATAATTGAAATAAAATTATTAATCAACATCCTTTTCCTTCTTTAAAAATCAATTTAATAACCTCTCATTAAACTCCGTTTGTACTTCAAATTCTGCTACTTCTGGCGTTAAAACATGTAATACTAACAATAACGTGTCACTTAGTTTAAAATTTAAATCTCTGTTGTTCGTTCACTTGTTGAGCAAACACCACCTTTTGTGAGAATATATGAATGACAGGCTAATAGTTTTCTTTTACAAATAGTAAATTAAACATATATATAAATAAATGACACATTTGCAAAAATACATCTTTATAGTACTAAATTATTGTTATGTGTATTGAAACAATGTAAAGTCACGTCGGACGAATTTAGTCAAACTCAAACCGCCCTAGACGTTAGGCCTTAATTACACTAACACTAACAGCACCAGTGACTAAGTAAATTATAAAGATCCAGACTGTCATTCATCGAAGAAAAAAACCCGCAAAAAAATAAAAAATTCAGGTTTAAACATAATATTAAGGTTACTTACTTTCTTTCCTCTTCGTCGAACATAAGAATCTTTTTTGTTTGTTTATTTTTCGGTCGTCGATGATGCTTAACAGTTTTAGTCCTCCACATGATTATAATTTGTTTTAAACTGACGCCGCCTGTGAAACACTTTAATATATTTGGAAGATAAAATACAACGAAAATAGGTTAAAAAGGCAAACTTATGGTATAAAAATTCATGTTTAGCTTTAATTAAACAAAGACAATACGAAAACCATTTAGCTTTTATATATTTATATGAGGATCAGTAGGGTACTAACAAAGATATCTAACATAAAGTTTTATTTCTATTTCATGAGGCATTCCATGTGTACACCATTCTCCTTGTAAAATTTTCTAATACTTTGAATACAGTGACAGGAACGAAAACCTTCATCAATCAGATGTATTTGCTTATCACATTTGTTTCTTGTTCGCTTATTTTTTAACGCAAAGATATATATAACTAGCCGCTGATAAATTGGAAGGCTTTCTTGTTACCAAATAACTTATAGGAGAAAAAGAACACAAAACCTACTTTTGAAGAACACATAAACCATGGAGGTGGCACTTTTTAATACTGTTGTAACATGTCTTGTTTGACGAATTATTTTGGATTACCGAGTAAAAATAATGCGAAGTCCATTCAAGGTAACGATACCGAATTAATTTATTTCTTCAATAAATAAATAGGTTTATCACAAGCTATGTTTACTTGTAACATACAACAGATTAAATAACGTTTAACACAACTTTCGAAAACTAACCCACCCCTACCGTACTCACAAATAAACTTACTTTCGCAGTTTCAATCAGAGACACACTAACCGTAACTGTCTAACTCTAATTAAATCACAGACGTAATAACTCTCTGTCACTGAACTAACTCAATCCTACTATAATTCACTGCTTGAAATTACTTATATGCATATATGGTACTCTATTTCTATATAATACACGAAATATTTAGATCATAACATCATTCGCCATCTAGTAAATAAATATATAAATTTAAATATAGCTTACAACACATAACATTTAAGGAAAAGAAGCCTTTTGGTTCATCTACGCCGTCCTATCCACAAACTAAGCACTAAAAAAAATTAAAACCAGCCCTTATCATTCAAATATTTATCAAGCTTTCTCTTAAACTCCTTTAAATGAACTGCATTTACCACACCTGAAGGCAACCCGTTTCAAAAGCCAAACACTCTGTTAGAAAAATAAAACCGTCTTACCTAAAGATGATTCGTATTCTGCCAAATTTATATTTGTGTCCCTTAGTCATACCATTCTCACCATTAAACGCGAAAAAGATGTGGCATCAACATTATCAATTCCCTTAACAATCATAAACTTCTCAACCATATCCTCTCTAACTCTTCTTTTATCAAGAGAACGCTTAAGAGACTGATCAGCCAGAACACCAATGTTTTTTTTTCCATAACGCTAATTTATTAGCATCAACATTATGCTTATTATTCAAATTGTAATATCCCACGTGCATTATCTTGCATTTATTATAATTAGAAGTCCCCTACAATTTATTTACCCAACTTACCAAATAATCCAATCCTTTTGTGAATCAGTAGTTTTTCCTCACAGCCAGCAACACTCAAAACTTTAATGTAATAAGCAAATTTAAATACTTTATTGACCCTTCTTTCATCTATGTCATTGATGTATATAAAAAAGAGCAAAGGCACCTGCCCACTATTTAACGACTCAGAACAAATAGTAGCAAGCGACTCACGTATACAATCCTCATCCTCTTTCAAAACCCGTTATTAAATATTGTT